ATCTGAATCTGATTCAATATAGAGTTTAACAAATCTGCTCTACTAGTGTTACACCCTATCATTCCCAGCCATGCATGCCGGTGTGGTTATCATTAGGCCTTTTTCTTTTTTCTTTCCCTTAAAATCAAATCAGTTTATTTAGTTTAATTATAAAAAAATATTTAATAATATGAGTTTTTTTAATTTATATTTTTAAAAAATAATTTAAGAACTTTAATAAAGTAAAAATGTAATATTTAATTTATTAATTATTTAATTAAATTTATTTATGTGATGATGATATTAAATTTAATATTTATTTTTATATTTTTTTATATAAAATTATAATAAAAATACGTTTTTAATTTATACCTTAAATCTACAAGTTAAAAAATCCTAACAATATTTAATAAAATAATTTAAAAAATTTTAATTTATGCATTAAGCATATAATTAATACATTTTTTCACTATTAATTCATATAAAAAACAAAAAATTGATATTAATTTTGGCATTAATATAATGTATCTTAATTTAATTAAGTAATTTCTTCTTGTACTAATCCTCTCATATTTAGAAGTTACATTAAATTTTAACTAATTTAAAATCAAGTTGTATTAAATCTCATAAATAAAATTTCTTCTCATATTTATTTTTCTATTCATAAAAATCAAAATCTAATTTAAAAGAAATGAAGTTCCTTTCACTATATTCAAAGATCTATAAGTCCTTGTTGGTTAGTTGTTAATATTAAAATCAAATTTTATTCTTTTTATATAATTTAATTATGAAAAATATATCAATTATTTTCTTAATTTATATCTTAAAATTTAATAATTAATTTTTAAAATATTAAATAAAAAATAAATTTTTACTTATATTTTAAAAAAAAATTTAAAATAACAACTAACAAAGATACCTTTTCATTTTATATATAATACTGTAAATATTATGAGCAGCTGATTCTAGAATGTACACTGTTGCATAAAGTAAACATGATATTTCTCTTCCTCATGGGACAAGTGGCAGCTTGTATATAAAAGTGAAACCCTCTGCTGATATGTGAGAGACCATGTTTAATCAGTAACCCCGCACGCTTGATTAGTCAATTTTGTTCATTATTTTACCAGTAGAAAGGTCGCAGAACAACAATCAGAACTGCTACAATCAACACAATATTACTAGGAAAAAGTGTTTATCGGTTTATTTTTTAAAAATTTTAAAAAAATTATTTTAAAAAAATTATTTTAATAAACCATATGAATAGGCATGAG